CACATATGTTACTCTGTGTGAAGCAAGACAAATATTTCAAGCATGTTTACAAGAAGCACACTATAGCATAACACATACCCAAACTCCTGGCCCAAAACAAGTTTATTACCCTTACTCACATGATACTTAATCATTCACAATATTCATCATTTATTACTGAAATGCACTATTAAGAGATGAATCCAACTCATTTATTAATTTAACATAATTCTAATGAGTCTTAACATGAGATTTAACTCTAAAAATTCTTCATATATAGGTAACATTCCAATTGACTTCTAGTAGCCTTGACATTAGCCTAACTCAAGATGTCCTTCATCTACCAGTATTATATTAACATAACATAATATTTTGAGATAACATGGGAGCTATTGGTCCATCTTGGCTGTTAAAAACCTTGAACTAAATAAACAAAAACAAAAAACTTAAACCCAGCCCTTATCATTCATATACTTATCAAGCTTTTTCTTAAACTCACTTAAATTTATTGCCTCTACAACATCCAAAGGCCAACCACCCTGTTAGAAAAATGAAACTGTCTTAGGTGAAGATGACTCCTACCTTACCAAAATTTATATGTGTCGCCTCGTCCTACTGTTCTCACAGTTAAATATGAAAAAAGATGATGCATCAACACTATCAATTCCCATTAAAATTTTAAACACCTCAATCAGATCCCCCCTAACTCTTTTTTTCAAGAGAAAACAATTTGAGAGATCTTAACCTCTTCTTGTTTGACAACCCCTCCATCCCAGGCACCATTCTAGTAATCCTTCTCTGAACCCTTTCCAACAATTCAACGTCTTTCCTAAGGAAGGAGCCCGAGACTGAACACAATATTCCAAATGTGACCTAACCAGTGACCTGTACAATGAAATTATAACCTCTTAAGACCTGTATTCAATATTTCTGTAGATATAACCTAAAAATCTATTTGCCCTACCACTAGCAACAGCACACTTCTTGGATGGCTTTAGAGACTGATTGACTATTACACCAAGATTCCTTTCCTTCATAATGCTATTAAGGTTATTCCCA